ACAGCCAATGTGTCTGGAAAGCCATAAGTGGAGTTATAAAATGACTTGCACAGTGGAGGAGAGATCAGTCTGGAAGACCCAGCCAGGCTTGTTATAGACGTTTGACTTGAAGGCAGCGCCTAAAGAAAGCTCAAAAGAACAGGAAATTGTCAGTTAAAAGGAAGAACATGCCAGTAAGGCTCTCTTGACAGCTGTAAAATTAACTGTCCCAATTACTTTCAATCACCTGGCAGTGATATTATTTAAATGTTGGAACTGAGTGGGGCAAAGTGGGGTGGGGGGGTGAGGAATGGAATCAAAAGACACACCAAAACCAGAAAGACAGGATTTTAAACCTATGACATTAAAATAAAATGACCGGCAGAATAAACATTGAAAAAAAGTTTCCCATCCCAGGCAGCCATCGTCACTGTCAAAGGATTGGGAAATGAAGATTATGTACCTTGGCTTTTTCTAAATGAGAAAAAGTTCTCGCAGCAGTTCTCAAATTTGCGGTCTGTCGTGTCCAGAAGAACAGCAGAGAAACCCAAATGACAAGAAAGCCGGTGTGGTACACAGGATACAGCAAACTGTAAATGTGGCACTCCGAAAATAATGCAATGTCGGGAAGAAAAAGCTGCCGATAAATGTTGCTCCAAATTTCCTGGAGATGCAAGAGGCCGCTTCTGGTAACGCTTTGTGCTGGAAGCGTCTGAAGGAGGAGTTTCCAAAGCTAATGACCACCGTGAAGAGCTGGAAGATCCTGGTTTTGAAACTGTACACTAATAACTCCAAAACTAATAAAGCAGTTGAAGGCTTTGTGGCACGTATATTGACAACTCCCCACAATCACCTGAGGCTGTTAGTGTACAGAAAGTTTTCCATCCTTTGGATTAATGTGGAGTGTCTCTTGAGAACACAGATGGGTTACAGATGGCATTACTGACCTTATATTATTAATCAGAACCACCATGAAAATTCTTGCAAACAGTGAAGGGAGAACTCTGTGGTTTGTGCCCAGATAATATTACTTGATAGTGATGGATGTGTTTTAAATCTTGTGACAGACAAGATACTGAAGTAACTCATACGGAGAGCTCTCGTCCAGCAACCACTGGCTATTTTAAAATATATGATCCAACAAGAAATGAAAGTTACCCTTTGGATTTCACGGCCTTTTCCAGTTCATTTGGTTTTGGTTTCATAGGACGCAAGCGCTCATGACCCATAATAAACCCTCTGATTGGTCAGTCTGGATCTCTTGACAAAGGGAGTCTTGGAAATGTGATGTTCACATCTGTTTTGCACTTGTATTGTTCAGTGGATCTATTTTACCATTTCCCTACCCCAGAGGTATGATTAGCAATCAAATTATTACATATAATTGAATTGTTGCATCCCGTTTAAATCACTGGAATTGCTTTACTGACTATGGATGAATCTCAAAAGAATGAAAGAAATGCCAAAGCTACAAAAGACAGTGAATATTCTCCTTTCTACAAGTCCCATCAAAGAGCCAATATTTATCCTTAACTTATGTCAGCCCCTTCTTCCAGATATGTTGCTCAGATACTACAGTAATGAACACGGTAGAAATATTAGTCCTGTGATTTGTTTCTCATAACATACGGCCATACCTGAAGACAACTAAAAGAATAACTGTTGAAGAAAATTACCAAGACAGTGAACATCCAGAGCATACCTCTGCAAGTTGCACATTACAATTGACAGTTATGGTTTTACTGCTCTTATCAATAGCATTTTTCACCATGACATCTATCCTCCCTCCAGCAATGTGTGTGTATATAGTGTAGCAAAATTTGAACTGAGGATTTTTTAGTGTCTTGGACAAAAAATGGAAGTGTTTGCAGAGTCAATAGTTATTGTTTTGGTTCATTTTAGTTGTGATGATGATTGGGGGGAGGGAGGGAATCTGTTTCTGGGTGCACCAAAGACCAGAACCCCAGGTGATCCAATGGACTGTGAGTGACAATGCACGAAACTAGCAATTAGTAAACTGACCTGCTGGGTGACCTAGTCCCTTCTCCTTTCTCCGTCTCTATTTCCTCTCCCACCATTTGGTTATTTAGATAGGAAGTTCTTCACGGTAGGGTCAGTTGCTCCCTATGGGTGCCCAGCATCTGTGCTCTTGGCTGGGGCTAGCTAGATACTACTGTAATACAGATAACACCAAGGAGGGATGCTCAGGGATCCAAATGCATCCCTGGTGTAACTTGAGTGAAGTTAGTGGAGTTTACACGAGGAGAGAGTTGCACTATTGGACCTTGACGTTTTTGTTACAAAGCTGCTTGTTCTTGCCATTCTTTCAGTTCCCACATGACACCACCTTCTCTACGCCCTGTTCCTATTCAATCTCTGCATGGCTGGTGCAGTGGCCTTAGGGAAAAAACACTGATTTCACCATTAACCTTCTTCATTATATTTAGGAAGTCTAGAAAGTTCAGTCAGGCTTCTCAAGTATTGTGCTTGGTGGCACATGCAGATTTGGAATCTATTGCAGGAGAGGAGCTGGGGTTGCTTCAATTCTGTGATGTTTGGACCCCGAGGAGAAGCCCTCTGGAGAAGGCGTGGGGTTGTGGGGTCCTTAGTCTGGGACTTGGAAAGTTTTCAAGTGGCTGGGTGTTGTTCCAGATCAGCCTTCTTTAGGTGTTTCTATTTGGCCGCTCGTTGTTGTTGCCTTGGAGGTCTATGCAGCATGCCCTGTGGGATCTGAGAGAGTGAGCAAAGCCAATTCCAAGTGGTTTCTGCTTCATGGCAGGTTTGTGCCGGCTGGCATGAGGTTGGAAATCAGCCACGCATAAGTTTGAGGCTAACTTTCTGGGTTGTTTTATTTATTTATTTTTAAGGTGAGGAATCCCAGTATTTGGGGAATGGCTAAACCCTATTTCACTTAGTGCTGGGGTCACAGGTTGCTCACTGGGCTGATCCACTGGAGAGGGGGTGAGTCAGGCAGAACCCATGGAAAGGACCCCTGCACGAGAGGGTTCTGCCCAGGTAGGAGCCCTGAGTGCAAGTTACAGATTGTTCTAATTCACTGACACACATTTTCTCTTCCTGAGCGGTGCTGAAACCAAGCTGACCCTTCAGGCTATTTCTAGCTCCAAGTTAAGCAGCTTCCTTGTGGGCCAAGGTCCTGCAAAGCCCAGTCTGGGGTTTGTTCCCTTTCTTGGAAGCTGCAAACATCCTGACTGCATGGCCCAAGAATTATGTTTTGAAGAACGTATCCTTAACACCTACTCCAAAAACATTGCCCCGTCCCAGAAACACGCCAGTGCATCCCAGTGAGACCAGGCCAGTGCAATTCTGTTTATTTATAAAATATACTGTATCAAAAAGAAAAGAACCCTCTTCAAGGAAAAGGGAAGAACGCCAAGCAGTCCTGCCCAGCCGCTGTCCGTTTCCTCAAACCAGCCGCTGTTGCTGGGAGTTGTGGCTTTGGAATAGGCTCAGGAAAACAGACTGCCGTTTACCTGCACTTAGCCCTGGCATTACAGCCCTGAATCCACCCATACAGTACCACCACTGCTTACTGTCGAGCCCTGCCTCTCAGCTGTGCCTCTCGCTGCGTGTTCTGAGATGAACAGGGGACCGAGAGCGGTTTCTAAACGGTGAGCAAACTACCGCGCTTGTGGCTCTCTCAGCCTTTCTGTGTCAAGTGAATGTAGCGCAGGCGGAAGGGGCTAGGCACAAGACGACGTCCTCTCCTTACCCAGAGAGCAGGTACAGTGTGGACACATTTCCCTTATTCAGCCCTGCTCCATTCTGCAGCCACCACATCTCAGAGTGAATGAGATGTTAATTCTCCATGGGCTGGTCACCCTTCCCTCTCTCTGTGATAGCCTTTAAGGGTGGACCCATTTGTGTTCTTCTGGTAACATCTAGGAGCCCCTTTGTGCTATCCACACAGACTGAAAGAGACAGCGCTTACCCCGGAGATATTCCAAAGACAAGAGGTGGGAGGAGGGACACATTACCACCTGCATTTTAGAGACAGAACTGAGGCTAAAGCAATTCCCCAGTGTCACACGGGAAGTCCGTGGCAGAAGTAGGAATTGTACCGGTGCCTTTAGCCAAAAGTCCATCCTTCCTGTGTCGTCCTACTGGGTTTTGTGATGGGGACACCTCTCTTTTTGAGGAGCAGGTCTGTGGGTATGTCTACCCTGCAGTCGGAGGTGTGACCCAAGCTCGTTTGGACCTAGCTCTTTCCAATTAGAATAGCCACAAAGCTGAGGCCTCACAGAGTAGCCGCTTACATACCTATTCAGGTCCCAGGAGGGCTTGTCCAGCCCAAGCTGCCAGGGCTTCGCTGTTATTGTTATTCAAGATCGCTAGATCAGGTCTGCCTATGCGTGCAGCAGTCACACCTCTGACTGCAGAATAGACATGTCACGCCTGGCCATGTCATGCTGGCATTGTTGATGTGGGCTTCATTGGAGCCAGTGACTGCAAGGTGAAATGTTTCATATCCTGGTCCCTGTGCTGGGAACACTTCTAACAGATCACCCCCTAGCGCATTCTCTCGGGTGTCCCGTTCCTTGTTTACCCTTGTGCTGCAGCAGGGTGGAGGGAATAATGGGAGTGCATGCCATGAGAAAGTGATCGCTGGAGCAGCTTTAATACTGTGGGGCTTTATCTTGTGCCACTGACTTGCTATGTGCCCTTGGGCCAGTCACTTTGTCCTCAACCCCATCTGGCTTTATACTGGTGGAACCCCATTCATAGACTTCAGTGGAGTCCCAGCTCTGCTAGTGAGCAGCCGCTGGTGCTGGTGAGATCAGAGTGAGGTGCATCACCTCTTCTTGGCTCTGTTTCCCCATCCGCACAGTGGGAATCACAGCACTTGCCTACCTGTTATAATTTCTATAGAGCCATAAGTATGCACAGTGCAGTATAGGCAAGTGAAAGAAATGAGTCCCTGTCCCAGGGAGCTTTACAGTCTAAGGCCCCCATCCCTTGGCTTCATGTTAAGTGCATGCATGAGTGTTTGCAGGATCAGGTCCCAATTCACAGACAAAGCATGGAGGACAACGATCCAGCTAGTCTGTGTGGAGGATACAGCGATCAGGATAATTCTTAGCTCTTGTGGAAACCAGGAGGACATGGTGAAAGATCTTGTGAAATTCCCCCAGGAGCAGTGGGCCAGCACGAAGCCTAAGCACCATGTAAGTCTCCAAAATAGGGTGTAGGTGGGGTTGGAGTGGTACCTTGACCTCAGGCTGTCCTGTCTGCACACGGGCGACTCGCACTCCTAGTGCATCCACTTCTTGTTAGTTCCTTTTCTCAGTCAGTTTTCTCGTCACTGAGTGTTTCAGATCGGCATTGGAAGCCTGGCCAAAAGGAGTGTCTCGACAACGGATTTGAAGGAGAGGGAGGTTGCACAGCAGACTGGGTCAGCGAGGCACTGGCATAGGGGAGAGCTGGAGAAAAGGGCTACCTTGCGTGAGTTTTGTGCAAATGAATGAAATGTTTTGTTAAAGGGGTTGAATGCCCACATCTACACATACACGTTATGTATGTAGGAATGTCAGATGTAAACGCTAAATATTATCAGAATTCCAGTCTGAAATCACGGCATTTCCAAAATATTAAAGTGGGGATGGTACATGTGCACGCAGGCACACAGAGGCCAGAGAAAGCGTAACCAATCCTAACTGGACTCTTGTCAGGAAACACAGGTGTGATGCAGTGACAGATCCCTTGACGTGGGGTTTGCATCCCACATTCTTTGTCTCAGCCTAACAGCCAGGCTGTGTGCCCGTGAAGTGGCTGGCATGGTTGTGGCTGCTGAATTGCTGTGGCTTCCCTCTGCAGCTCCCATGGAGCAGGTGAGGTTACTCCTCTCCGCAGTCCCCATCGCTCCCACTAGAAGGAACGACGCTGGTCATTTGAAATAACTCTCTTTTAAAACAACGGGTCCAAAGTGACAGGATCCAAATGGCAAAACAGTTTCCCGGCTCCAGTATGTCAGTTACTGCCAGGCCCAGCTGTTGGCAGCCTCTGTCTCTGTCAAATGGTGAGACGAGGAGCCGGCCAAGGCAGATGCATTGAATTGTTGTGGTTAGCAAATAGATTGCAAAAAGAAAAGGAGGACTTGTGGCACCTTAGAGACTAACAAATTTATTTGAGGATAAGCTTTCGTGAGCTACAGCTCACTTCATCCAATGCATGCTCACGAAAGCTTATGCTCAAATAAATTTGTTAGTCTCTAAGGTGCCACAAGTCCTCCTTTTCTTTTTGCGGTTACAGACTAACACGGCTGCTTCTCTGAAACCAGCAAATAGATTGGCTCTCAGCAGGCCTCCTACCCCACTATCAATAGCTGATTCTGCAGTGCCATCTCCAGTGCCCGGGGCGGTGGGGGAGGATGGCCTAAGGGCACTTTTAAGCAGTCAGGTGTCTGCAGTAGAGGGAAGAGCTAATTGCAGGGAGCAACATGAGTTCTTGCATCTCAGCATTTCACAGTGTGGTTGGGGTTTTGAACCAATGCAGACAACTCCTCTCTGTGCATTGTGCATCACTGCTCAGCCGTGTGTTTGGAGGTAATGCCATCCAGTGGAACTGCACAACTGTGTGGCACTCTCACTAATGGGATGTCACACAGCCGTGTGTTACTGTGAACCCACAACTATGCGCACTCATGCTCCGCCGTGAATCTCCCCCTTATCCCTCACTGGGGATTGCAACATATCCATATGGTGATGTGTGTCACATGCGTCCTGTGTACTCTGGGCATTGCCACACACCCATGACTGACTCTGCATTAGGGCTGGCTGAAAATTTTCCATCAAACCTGTTTTTTGATGGAAACTTGGGTTTTCAACTAAACATTTTTTGTAAAAAGTGTCTGCTTTCTGTGGAAAATTTTGATATTTAGTCAAAAAACCCCAAACCCCAAAATGTGTGTGTTTTTGTTTTTTAACCTGAAAACAAATATTTTTATTCCCAATGGTACCAAGGTGCCTCATGGGAGTTGCAGACAGAGGGGCTTATGTTCCCATTCTCCTCTATAGGCCAGGCTTCCTGGCTGGACTACATCTCCCATGAGGCAGCAGGCCAGGGACTCCTAATGCGCTTTCCCCTTTGCTCGCTGAGAAGGGAGAAGGTGATGCTTCCTGGGAGAAGTGGCTGGACTGAACGGAAAACGGGAGCAACAGGCACTGAACTATAATTCTCATAAGGTGCCATTTTGGATTTCGATATTGGGTGTGTTAACAGGCAAGTAGGAAATTGCCTTCCCACCCCGCCACAGCACCTTCTCCAGTCCACGTAGCCTGAGCCAGCAAAATGTTCAAGGCTGCCACATAGTGGAATGGTAATTTGAAGGGTTCCTTTCCACTGCATCCCAGTCAGCACTTTGCTTCTCTTCACATCAGTACAATAAGACCTTGCTAATGAGTCGGAGACCTCTGGCAAGTCCCTATGTGGTGTAGAATTAGCAAGATGTGGGTAAAATTCATCCCTGGGCAGAAGGGCCAGTTCCAGAAGGCTGAAGTGGGACTTGAGTGGTAACGAGGCCTCGCAATGGACCTCTGCCCGGCGTGAAAGTCAGCTCATGTGAACAAGCACAGCAGAAAAGCGCAGGATCGGGCAGCCCCGCCCAGGCTTTCCTTGGTTGCTCTAACAGCTTTTGTTTCCATCCTTTTGACCATGTTTCTTAACGGAGCAGTCCACGGCCCACGGCATATCCCATAGGACCGATGGAGCCTGAGCTACGTGAGCCTCCACCACAGCGTTGTGTGTCGAGATCTTCCCCAAGAGCCAGGAACAGTTCTAGGTCATGTGCCTTAGCCAAGTGCGACCTAGCAACATCCTATGGTACTGTCCACATGATATTTCTATTACAGTCATGCCTTGAAGCCCCCACTGCTGGGTGCTACACACCTGCATAGCGAGAGACCATCCTTGCCCCCCAGTGAGCTTATCAGCAACAGACAAAATGGACAAAAGGTGGGAGGGGAAACTGAGGCACTGGCTCAGGAAGTGATTTGCCTAAGGTTACACTGCAAGGTAGAAGCGGAGCTGGAATTAAAACCCAGGTCTCCTGCGTCCCAGTCCAGTGCACTACCCATTAGCCCATGCTGGCTCCCCTATGGAAAGCAACTGAGAAATAAGTTAAACATTGCCCTGTAACATTAGCATTTGAAGGGGAATTTGAAAGGCATTTTTAGGTACAGTCAGGTTTTATTTATTTTCCAGTGAAGAATATTTGTGTTTGGGGAAGATTATGGGAAAGATAGCACTGGCCACAGACAAAGCACAGCCTGGCATAAATAACACAAGGGCCCATCACAGTCTCCTGCTGGCGATCTTGACTCCGCCCTGGTGAGACTACCAAGCCCTCCATGCTGGGCTTTTTGCCATCTGCTTCGGCAATGAGCCACATGAGCTTCCAAGATGGAAACTGGTGCATGCAAAACCAATGCCTTGCAAGCGATTCAGGCAATGTCCCTTCAGACTTTGCTGAGGGATGGGGAAGATGCAGATCTCTTCCATGCCAGAGACTTGCCAAATGTGGTATAAGAAGCAACCTGTGGCGACTTACTGTCTAGCCTGGCTTGGGGTCCCTACCCTGGCTCAAACAGACGTGTGCAAATTTAGGGGTGAGGCTGTGTCCTGAAGAGACAATTTGCGTGAGGAGGGGGGTGGTAGCGTGCTCATGGATACCCCAAAAATAAATAAGGTGGACTAAATCCTGCCTTCTTGCCCACCCCCATGGAGGACAGCACATCTGGCCCAGTTCACATTATAATTAACTAGTGATCCCAAACCCAGACTGTGCCCAAGGCTCATGTCCACTTGTCTGCAGATTCTCTGACACGTGAGCACCTCTCTGTAGGTTTTGGGAGTTCTCTGCAAAATTTCCATTGCATTAAAAATATAAATTCTTTCCAGGCTCTGTGATGCAAAACCAGCTGTTTCAACCACAGAACCTATATAAACACTACAGGCTTCAGCACTAATGCTCATATGTTCCTTGGACCAAACAGTTTTGGCTTACTAAGCATCTCTGGGTGAGAAGCGCCTGCTGGGAATGATTTGGCTGGTGGAATTTGCACGCTCCACCTGAGTGTTTATAGAGATTCTAAGCACCACGAATCAGAATGACTATATAATTAGAGAGCATAGGTAGTCTGACAACAGCCTCAGCGGAGGTCTGTTGGCTATTAGACTGGGGCTAAGGAGACCTGGGTTCACAGGCTTCCTGAAATACCTTGGGCTAATCTTTGTCTTTCGCTTGTAAAATGTGTGTAATGCTTCCTTTGTCTTTTTCTATTTCTATTGTAAACTCCTCACGGCAGGGACGGTCTCTTGTTATGTGTTTATACAACATTCCTAGCACAACTGGGCCTCCGGATCTGGGCCTCTGAACACTACTGTATCACAGATTAATAATAAGCAGGGTCTTATCAATTCTGCAAGACCTGTCAGGGTGTTTATAAACTCCACTGGGTCCAGAGCTCTCAAAAGTCCAAACAGTGCCCAAAAAAAATGTCCGGCTTGCTTTAGACAAAAGAAAAGAGAGAAATTTAAAACCAAAACCAAAAAAGTCACTCCCCAGTACTAGTCTTCCTTGCGGATGATTCATTGAGAACCACTTGGCGATTCCAGACCCGTCAACTTTAGAGACCTGATGTTTCAGGATAAATGACTTTTTCCAAAAAGTGGGGGAAATTCTTCACATCCCAAACTCCCTTTTGTCTCTGCTAGCCTGTGGGATTAGCCCCACCTTGAAACCCAAACCATTCTTCGGAAAGGAGGGTGTGTGTGTGTGTGTGTGTGTCTTCATAGAGCCCAAGGCCAGAAGGGACTGCAGTGATCATCTAGCCTGACTCTCTGTATGGCACAGGCCAGAGACCTTCCTATAATAATTCCTAGTGCAGAGCTTTTAGAAAAACAGCCCGTCTTCATTTAAAAATGGTCAGTGATGGAAAATCCACTGTGACCCTGGTGAGTTGTTCCACTGGGCAATTACTCTCTCACTGTGTTTGTCTCGCCGGCAGGAATTTTAAAAGGAGTTGAGGAGGAGGGAGGGTCTTGCCAGGGATCGAATGGAATCGCAGCCTGAAATCATCTGAGCCTGAACAGACTTACCCTTGTTTGTTTGTTCTGGGGTAGCACCAAGGAGCCCCAGTCATGGGCCAGGCCCCCACTGTGCCAGGAG